TATGTGGATAGAGACAGAGAGAAGAGCTCTGTAAATGGCAGGGGCCTGGGAGCTTTAGGGCAGGAACTAAGGGGCAAGAGAAGCCAGAGAAGGAGCGTTTGGGTCCAGGTGGGAATTCACCCAGGCACATCCTACAAGACACAGCTGTGGAGTCAGCCAAGGGAGGAAGGGGCCCACTCCCTGCAAAGGGCCAGAGTGAAAACCCAAACACCTCTCTCCCCAGAAACCACTATGGCCAAAGATGAGGCCAGCATACCATAGCACACAAAAGACCCTACCAAAGCAGGGGATGCAGCCTTCTAGACACACAAAAGGGGAGGAGCCAGGGCCATGGCTCAGCTGGCTGCACAGGCTCCCAGCACACTCATGAAACCTAGCCATACTGGTACTGCAATCCTAACCCTGGGGAGACAGACAGGCTGGTTAACCAGCGAGTTCAAGTTCAGTGAGAGACCCTCAAAAAGATAAAGACAGAGAGTAATAGAGAAAGACACCCGACATTGACCTCTGACCTCTGCATGCACATGTGCACACAGAAATACATGCACCATACACACAAAACAGACACACACACACACACACACACCTGTACTCCCAGCCCTCGGGAGACAGAGGTAGGAAAATCATTAATTCAAGGCCAGCCAGGGCTATCCAGACCCTGTCTTGACAACAACATAGTCCATGGCGGATGTTTTTCTAACACAGGAGGCTCAAGGAAGTAAAGGGCATCAGAAATAAAATAACTGAAAGTACAAGAAACAACGCTGGGCTTTCTGTTGTCCTCAAAGGTAACTTCTCAGAATCTGCAGCCATGCTGTTCTGACCACACCAACAGGACAGCAGTCTCACAGAGAATGTGAGGGTCTGGTACAGCATGTGACCAGGTGCCTTACCCGAAGCCAGGCAAGGGTGCTCTAAGATATACCTGCAATCTGTAAAGCAACCGGCTGAACATGCTAGAAAAATGATATAAAAAGTCAAAAAAAAAAAAAAGGGGGGCAGCGGAGTTCAAAATGGAATCAAGCATGATGATATCGGAGAGGGGAGAGCCTGCTGCCAGGGAAGTGACGAGTACACAGGCCTGGGAACCTGAGTGTGGGCTCCCCACTCCACCTTTAGCAGGTGCTTGGGATCTCAGTGCTGGGAACATGGAGACAGCCAAAGCCCCGAGGCGCAACAGACAGGTAGCCTAGCCAGCTTGGTGAGCTTCAGGGTCAGTGGAAACCCTGCCTCAAAAACCATGATCGACCCAAGGTCGATCTCTGGTCTACGCACACGCACACGCGCACACACACACACAGGTACGTGTGTGCACTCGGTGTGTGCATATTACACATGCAGGCACACAGTCAGGAGCAGCGAGGAAACTTAACAAGGACTTCTGGGTTGACCGGCATGCTTGTCTGCTCGGGACACTCCTGAGAGCCAAGTGCTCCTAAAGTGAACTAGGCTGTGTGCACCAGGTCACTGGAAGTCACTAGCCTCTCCGGCGGGCATGCACAACTGGAATGCAAGTTTAAAAACAGTACTACTTATGACAGCTCCTTCCAGTGGAGCAGGTCAGACCTAAGCCTAAACATCCCCAAGGGCGGCCCCTGCACAGCGGCAAACTGGAGACCAAAATCAGTGCGGGGGCGTGCGGTGCTTCTGCGTTAGAAGACTCAGGATTGTGGACGCATCGACACAATTGGGCTTTCCCCCTAAGATTTAGGTTACTGTCTGTGTGCCAGGTGTGTGCAGGCGCCTGCAAAGACCAGAAGAGAAGACCAAGACCCTCTGGTACTTGGGTTGCAGGTGGTTGTGAGCCACCCAATACATAGGTTCCAGGAACCGAACTCTGATCCTCTGCAAAAGCAGCCAGTGACCTTAACGGCTGAGCCATCTCCGGCCTGGTTCAGTCTGTCCACTCGCAGCCAGGATCTCAGAGAGTGGTTTCGGCAGACAGCTCCCAGCTAACCCCAAACTGCATGTGGAAAATAAAGAGAAGCTAGAGTATTCTCCCTCAAAAGCTGAAGAAAGAAGACAAGATGGGGGGAGGGGGCTCGAATCAGCTGACTTGAAGATGCTCGCCCAAGCAGGGTAGTTATGAATATAGTGCCAGTAAAAGGATGATGGAACAAAATGGGAGCCCAGAAACATACCACACAGATGCAACCATCTGATTTCTGATGGGCAAAGACGGCAGGTGCCTTAGTTTGGGTTTCTGTTGCTGTGATGAAACCCCATGACCAAAACAGCAAGTTGGGGAGGAAACGGGATATTCAGCTTATACTTTCACATTGCTGTTCATAGCCAAAGGAAGTCAGGACAAGAACTCAAACATGGCAGGAACCGGGAGGCAGGAGCTGATGCAGAGGCTATGGAGGCCATGGCTTCCTCAGCCTTCTTTCTTGTAGAACCCAGGACCACCAGCCCGGGGATGGCACTGCCTGCCCGCCATAGGCTGGGCCCTCCCCCCTTGATCACTAATAGAGAAAATTCCTTACAGCTGTATCTCGTGGAGGCATTTCCTCAGCTGGGGCTCTTTCCTCTCTAATGACCGTAGCTTGTGTCAAGTTGACACGCAAAACCAGCCAGCACAGTGGACTAGAGGAGCAGTGCCTGTGTGTAAAACATGAACCTCGGGCACAGCTCACACCGGAGAAGGACCCCAGAAGGCACAGGTGTGTGAAACAACTAAAACATGAGAGAATGCTCCTGACCTTGAATTTGAAAGCAATGCCTGTAATAGTCAGCTTTTCCTCACCATGACAGAATGCCTAAGACGGAACACTTCGAAGGAAGGAAGGTCCACTTGGGCTTACCCTCTCAGATGATTCGGTCCGTTGGCCTGGTTGCCTCTGATAGGGTGGTGAGTAACAGGAAGGCAAGGCAAAGGAAGATTTACTCACCTTGCGGCAGCCAGGAAGGAGGAGGGTAACTGGGCTCCCAACACCCTCCTCAACTATATACCTGCGCCACGGTAACTTCCTTCAGCTAGGCTCCACCTCCTCATAGAGCCACTGGCTGACGACCACCTGTCAATATTTGAGGCTTTGAGAAACACCCGCTTCAAATGATAACAGTACCCAAAGAACAATGAAATAACAGAAAGAAAAGACAAATCGAGCTTAATTAAAAATTTTCGACAGACAGTGGTGACCCGTGTGTTTAATCCCAGCACTAGGAAGGCAGAAGCAGTTGGACTTCTGTGAGTTCAAGGCCAGCTTCCAGGACAGCCAGGGCTACACAAACCCTGTCTTGGGAAAACAACAACAAAACAAACAAAAATTCAACATTTACTCTGAGAATGGAACTAAAAAAGACCAACCCACGGATGGAGAGGAGTCTTGTTCCCAGGATATAGAGAGATTTAAAGTATCGTCAGCAAGAGGCCAGAGAGATGGCTTGGTGTGCCCAAGCAAGAGAATCAGAGTTCAACCCCCAGGGCCTCAGGAGCCTGTTACCTGTGAGCCCAGCAATCCAGATGTGGCGACAGAAGGACCAAGACAGCCACGTGCTCTAATGCGTTAGTTCTTGGAGACTGGATTCCTGATACTGTCTCAATGGGGCTCCAGTCATACAGTGCTGGCTTAGTGTGTGAAGTGAGAGGGAAGAGGGAGAAGGGAGGGAGGGCGCCAGAGGCTGTGCACTGAAGCAGCTCCATCCATGTGACAGCATCAGAAGGTGACAGCCACAGAGCGCCATGCCCCGTCCAGGAGCCCGGGTGTGGCTCCAGTGGTTATGGGCAGAAGTTGGTGGGGATCCTCAGACAGAAAGGGGCTTCAGGAGCAACGGTGCAGAAGTCAAGGATGCTGCAGGCCCGTGAGGCCCTGGGCAGGAAACCAGGCTGAGCAGAGGTCGTTACTGCATATCTGCCCAGGCCACTCCTCAGGCCTGGCTTTCCATTATGTCAGGTGTGTTCCGGTAAAGGAGTCTACTTCATGTCATCTGTCAGCCAGACCACAGGACACCTCCTCTCATGGGCCCAGGTCACCTCAGTTCAGGAGGCTCAAATAAAACTATGTGTTTTTTCCTCACACCTTCTTACTGCCAAGCTCCCTTTCAGCAACTAGCAGCCCATATCTACTGCCATCCTTGGCTCTCTGGAGCCTCTGTCCTCACATCTGCCTTTACCAGTCTTCTGTCCTAAATCTGTAACCGTCGCCACCAGCACTTCTGCCATCTGAGCGAGGCCCTACGGGGAGCGCTAAGGGCTGTGGGGTGGATCAATAGAGAGATGGATGGAGGTTATATAAGATGAACAGAAGGATAGAAGGATGGATAATTTGGTGGGTGGGTGGAGGTACTGAGTTTGGTGGTGGATGGGTGGATGGATGGATAGATAAATGGAGGGATATCCTGAGGGTCAGATAAATTAATGGTTTCTTCAGTAGTGTATGGTCAGATGAATGGATGGATGGGATAGCTTGGTGGGTGCATAGATAGGTAGATAATTTTGTCAGTGGATAGATGGTTAGCTGTCTGGCCAAACAGCTTGATGGAGGGGTGGATGGGTGTGATGGATGGATGGATGGATGGATGGATGGATGGATGGATGGATGGATATCTACTCATCATATGGACATATGAAAGTCTGAGTCAACAGGCAAGTGAGTGACTGTAGAAAGATGACTAGTTGGATAGATAACGGGGTATAAATGGTAGAAATTCTGTAACTGGGTGGGACTTGGAGACTGATGTGCTTTTCTTAGGCATTACATGAGTCTTTTGTCTGCCCAGGACTGGGTTGGCCATGTCACTTTGCAGACAAGCCGGTACTTGGGCCACACCACAACACTTTGTTTAGGAGCTCAGACATCCAGTCAAACACAGTCCTGCCACCTCTGCAGCCCCTGCATCCATGGGAAGGGGAGACAGGCAGAGGGTGCACTCCCCAACCCACGTGGGGGAGGGTAAGGGGTGTCTCTGGCCAGTAGGACTTGGAGTTCTTCCTCCCTCTCCCCCCCTCATGACCTGGGACACCCACAGAAAGAGCAGCCAGACGGAGGACTCTGCTTTTTCTTTTTACAAAGACTTTATTGTCTGACATGCTTGACAAAAAAAATTACAGCCACAATCAAGTTATGCCAAAATGATTGAGGAGCAGGCCGCCATCTTTCAAATCTTGAGGACTTTCAATGAAATTTCTCTTTAAGACAGCTGCCTCCACAGCTTTTCTTCTCCACATAAAAATATGCCGCATTCTGAAGATGTCCTAGGAAAAGGTTTCTTTCTTTTTCTCTTTTCTTTTTTCTTTTTTTTTTTTAATAGTTCTTGGTCCACACAGAAACTGTGGAGCTGAGACACCACACAGGAGATGTATTTTCTCTGCCCCAAACACAACATGCATCTGGGCACAGAAGAGAGACCTTGTAAATGTCAAGGGACCACTTGACCCAAGCAAGATTCCTGAAGCCCTGTGGCCTGTGGGGCACAGCTCTCCTGGCCAGCGCAGGGCACCAGCGGTGGCTGAGAACACAGCCTCACCCACAGTGAGCCACGTGAGCCCGGCTCATTCACCTGCAGGGAAAGACTCAGGAGTGGGTCTCACAGGATGCTGGGATACCAAGCTCAAAGCTCAGAATTCCTTATGGTTTGAGGGACCCTCGTCTAAGAATGAACAAAAGCCAGTTTTGAACAGGACCCTTCAAAGTTAAGCAAGAGTCTCAGCCCATGCCCTGCTCTGTAGGTGGTGACAGTGAAGGGACACTTGTGAGGCCAGAGATGGAGAGCCAAAGCTCATTGCTGCTCCTTTTGTGCTGTGCATCCTCAGGCAAGTGACCTCACCTCTCTGGCCTCAGTGGCCTCATCTCTATAACAGGGCAAGAGTACCTATATCGCAGGAATGATTGTAGATAAAGCAAAATTATCCTAAATGAAGGTACCAGGATAGCTGGTCCCCAAGGCTGGAGCCAGGCTAAGGAGGCGAGGCCCTCGTGTCAGAGGCATGACGTGGAGGGCATAAAACTTCAAGAGTCAGGACAATACTGTTTCAGTGACATGTTACTAAGAATCAGAATGAGTGCAAAAATAGTCCACAAAGAACAAATATCGGCATTTTAAGTAGACAGTGTCTGATGCTGCCTCCCCCTGACCTAGGGCCTCCTGGCTCTGCCCTTGCAGATGGGCTCACCCAGGCCTAACTCAAGAAAGGCTGTAGCCTGAGGCACAGCCACCACCAGTGCCCAGGGTAGCTCTGTCACTGCGCCACCTCCCGGTAACCAATGGTACTGACAAGCATCCTGGAATCCTCTGAAGGGGAAAAATCACATCAAGGAGTGGAGCCCATCATGGACACTAACAGGCTAGGTTTGGAGGAGTGTGCGTGCCACACACATTGGGGCATGGATATGGCTGGGCACAGGGCCTCAACCCACAGAACCCCCTGGCTGTTGTGCTCTACAGAGGAATGTGGTCTCAGGGGATCCAAGATGGCCTCAGTGTGATGAGAAACCAGCAAGGTCTGGCCACCCGGAAGAACCAGCCTCCCAAATCCAGGCTCTGAGCAGAAGCTGGGGACACACAGCCATTGTCCACATCATCAGCTGGGTCCTAAGGAAGGAAAAGGGACTAAACCAAGCCAACTGCTGAAGGCCTGGCCAGGGCCTGTCAGAATTCCTGAGATGTCCCTGTACACTCCTAGACCCCTGCACACAAGAGGCAGGCTTACAGCCAGAGAAGGGCTGTCTGTGCCCAGGCCACACTTCACCCCCAACCTTGGGGGCTCACAAGCCACCAGACACACTTGGGTGGCAAGACATTTTGTATGAAAATTCCCAAATCCCATCCAAGAGTGGTGGCTTCTCGGAGCAGGAGGGCGTCGAACTGAGCTTCTGTCATTTCCCAAGTGAGAGAGCGACGTGGATGCGGGCCTGTTAGGCCCTGGAATGAAGGACAGATGTACACACAGAAAACAGAAGTGAACATGGTGCCCCTGAGGGGGCTGCTCAAGGCCCCAGTTACAGGTGGCAGAAGGCTGACAGTCAAAGGCAATTTCTTTTATCCCAAGGATTCTACTCATTGCTGGCTGGTCCCATGGCCAGATGGACTGTCTGGGCTGTTCTGCATGGGAGGAAGTGGGTTAAGGGATCCAGGCTCTTAGCCAGACATACGGAGCTGACGTGGGCAGGCAGAGCTGGAGTGGGGAGCAGTCAGGAGTTCCGGGGTGTGGGGAGATCAATGACTATGGGAGGGTTCACCGGCTGATAGTTCACAGTGCACACGGACGCGTTCACATAGGTGGTGGTCCCATCTGCCATGACGCCGTACCCTGGAGAGAGAGCATGCACCTGTCAGACCAGGATCTGGAGCTGTCTGGTGGCAGTGGCTGCTACAGATGTTCTGCCACAGTGGGTGGGGGCAAGCCACTACAGTTCTCAAATTTGGTCTTTTTATCTGTCAAATGGAAATGATGATGGGAGGTGGTTCTGAGCCTGCCAGGGGGACTGGGTGAGGTCACCATCCACGTGCGGTGCTCGGGCCAGTGCATGTCACAGGAAAAGCACAGAGTAAGTCATTGTCATCATCTTCATGTCACCTTCCTCAGCATGAGCATCATCACCATGGTGCCATCATCAGCATGGTTCCCCGTGACCACTGTCAGCATCACCCAAATCATCAGAGTGATCGGCCAGGTGTGTTCAGGTGCTATGTCCACAGGCTGCATCACCACATTGTCGTAGCCGCCATTGCCATCCATCACCGTCATCATCCCCATGACCACCAGCAGCAGCAACAACATCAGCAGCCTCATAATAATCAGTGTCATAGTCCTTGCCATCATCCCCATCACTGCTATCATTGCCATGACATCATCATCCTGCTGACCAACAAAATCATCACCAACACCATCAGTGTCATGGTAACCATCAGCACCACTGCCATCTTTGTTGCCATCTCATCACTGCCATCATCACCATGACATCATCAGTCGTCACTGTCCCCTGGACTACATCACTACCACCTTCATTGCCATCCCCAATGCTGCTGTTAATCACCATGACATTAGCATTTTTATGAGTCTCCTCCCCCTCTTCACCAATCCTCATTCCCTAGCCACATCATCATCACCATCAACGCCACCACCTCATGACCGCTGTCATCAACACCATCGGTACCATCACCACATCAACAGTCATCACCCTCGTCACTATAACCACCCCACTATCACCATCATCACCAACACCCTCATCCTCACCAGCATTGCCCTGCCATGACATCATCACTATCTTCCCTACCTTGGTGTCACTACCACTACCATCTTTGTAACACTGTCATCACCACTGTGACGCTCATCGCCATCTCTGTTGTCCTCGCAATCACTCCAGCTGCCATTGTCAAATTCCCCTCTCCACCGCTTCTGCTTGTTGAAATCCCTTCCCCCACCTGACTGTCTTCACGCCAGAAAGGACACTCTCCTGCTCTTTTCTGGAGCTCCATTTTGCCTACACAAATATGCAGGGGTATGGTTTTGGTCCTAAGCAACCTTACACATTTTGGCCTGCACACACACACACACACACACACACACACACACACACACACGAAGGTCCAAGACAGCATTATAACCTCACTGTCCCTGAGCTCCCCCATGAGCTCCCATGCTTTTGCCTTTGATTGCCTGGCTGCTGCCCAGAAATCTGGGAGCTTCTCCAGAGACACGTGTGCTCTGCTCTCTTGACCCCTAAGAACACCACTCAGAGATGCTCAAGAAATGGCTAGAATTTATTTACTTCCAAGATAGAAAACTATTGGATGAAGGCAGTGTGAGAGCCCAGGAGCCCTGGTCCAAACACAGACAGGGTCAGCCGACCAGTAAACACTCTTGGGGGCAAGCCTTATCAGTCCCTACCCCACCTCAGGCAGCCACCATGTTTCCTGTCAGAGATGGGACTGTGAGGCCTGGGACAGGCAGGTTAAATGTCTGAAAGCAACAGCAAGGGTTTGCATCCTATGTTGAAACTGGGCTCCAGGAAGAACACCTGAGACTAAGAAGGTAAGCTGGGGTGCAAGGGACAGCTGTGTGGGGCAGTGTGGGTGGTCAGGACTGTGAGCCGCCTTCCCACAGCGTGGACATCCCCACTACTCCAATGAGTTCACCTTCTGCTAGCCAGCATTTCCATACTAGCCAAGGCAGCAAGCATGTGAGGTGGCCTAGGCATGGACCACGGATGTGGGCTATTTCCTGCAGAAGTCAGGGAGGAGGCTAGTGAGCAGGATTTAAGGAAGACAAGAAACCCCTCTAAAGGGCCAGTTAGAGGCACCCCCACCCCCCATGTGAGGGCTCCTTTCCTCCTGCCTTCCCACTCACCCTCATGGATGTGGCCAAAGACGTGCAGCCGCGGCTGGACTCGCCTCTGGACCGTGTTGAGCAGCTCCACGCAGCCCACACGCTGCATCTTCTTGGGCACCCAGTCTAGAAAGCCTGTGCCAGAAGACGACAAGGGTGTTGAGGGAGGCCAGCGGGCATCTTTAACCTCACGTCTCTGTTAGCACAGACTGGGTAGGACCTGGAGTCCTATGCTACAGCTCCAACATAGCTCCCCTCGCCCAGGGCAGCGAGCTCCAGAACCTGCCCTGCCTGAGCGAGAAGCCTCATGATGAGGCAGTTCCTGGAAGCCCAACCTGCCTTTCCTTGGTAGGGCTGCGGTAAGAGACTCCTTGACAAGAGGCGGGAGGCTGGGCACCTGGTCCCAGGTGCAAATAACCACTGGAGCCCATAGCGGCTTCAGTGGCTGTTTCTAGCCTCTCACTGCAGAGAACAAACTGAGTCCATGGTACCCCAGCGGCTGGAAGCAAAGCGGAGCCTGCAAGGTCTCAGAGGGGAATTTCCAGTTCAGAGATGTTCTCTAGAAAACCCAGCAGAAGCCTTGGCATAGCCCTGTTGGAAGACTGCTTGCCTATCATGACACTCTGGGGCACTGTAGATGAGATAGTGCATGGCTGTGATCCCAGCTCAGGGAAGGTGACGGCAGAAATATGAGTTCAAGGCCATCCTTGGCTATCTCAAAAGTTTGAGGCCAGCCTGGGATACGTGTGTGTGTGGGGGGGGGGGGGGTTAGGGGATGGAGGTGTTCAGAAGCATAAAGCTAGTTTCCTTGGCTGAGACATGCTCTCATGGTGCCCGCTGTGTCTGTTGGCCGCCAGCCTCCTAGAGCAGCCCCATATGGCGGTGGCTTATTATCCTTTCATGGCTACACAAACGAAGAATAATTGATGACTCGAGTGAGCAATCAGGTTTCTGTTGGCTCCTCTCTGTTTGGGTGGGTGAGATAAACTATAGAGTCACCAGCAAAGGTTGGAGAGCTTTGACTCAGTGTGCCCAGGAAGCTCCACTAGGAGAAAGGTGCTGAGACACAGCACGACCTGTATGAGCCTCGCAGAGGGAGAGGAGAAGAGAGAAGGAGGCAGAGACAGGTAATAGGTAATGAGCAGGACTGGGGTTTGTGGTAGCGCTAGGTCCTAATCTCCACAGCTCCTAGACCATGCACAGACAGGTTCGTGTCTCTGTGTTTTGGCTTCCTCCAGCTGTCAGAAGCACTGCCCTAGGAACTGGAATCTCACAGGCCCCATCCTTCCATGGCAGTGTGGGCCAAGATGGGGTTGGGGGGGTTGGTTCCCTATCATCCCAACTGTCCTGGTGACTGCAATCTGAAATGAAGTCCATTAGCACCTGCTGGGACACGTGGTGCACATGTGCAGTCCCAAAAGAGGTGTGCAGTGTGCTCTGTGACTGGAACAGGACATATGGAGAGCAGGGAGCCAAAGGATATGGCTTCTGGATAAATGGTGAGAAGGTGGGTGAATGTATAGGCAGGTAAATGGATGTAGGCAGGTTGACAGATGGATAGATGGTTGATGAAGGACAGATGAATGGATGATAGAGGATGGATGGATGATGGAAGATAACAATTGAGGATGGGTGATGATGGCTGAATGGATGAAAGATGAATGGATGAATTGATAAAGAATGGATGGAGGATGGATAGATAAATGGATACAGAATGGATGGATGGATGGGTGGATGGATGGGTAGAGGATGGATGGTGGATAGGTGGATAGATGAATGGATGGGTAGATGGATCAGGAGATAAATCAGGATAGTAGAAGGGGGGAAGATAAGGAAATAAGATAAGGAAGGAGGGAAGAAAAGAAAATGGAGAAAGTAAGGGAGGAAAACGGAAAATAGAGAGGAGGAGAAGGAAGGCCACAGAACCCACACAGCTCAGATGAAATTGAGGCCCTGTGGGGGAGGGGCACAAGGCCGGTCACCCTCATGTTGTGCTGTCCCAGCAGAGGCCCAGGGCCTCAGGGCCTCCTCCATTGCAAAGGGGGTAGGAACAGGTGGCTGAGATTGGAGGGCAGCAAGGAGGCCACAGTAGTCAAACAAGATACAAGTCCTGAAAACTTCTGGCATCATTAGAGAAAGGAGGAGGGAACTGGGAGGCAGGTTAGAAAGAAAGCAGAGGGGCAGGCTGCAAGGGCCAGGTACAAAGCCAGTGGGTCCTAGAAGGAGAAACAGGTGAGCAACAAACAGCCTTAGCTCAGACCAGAGCAGAGGTCTACATTGGGAGGTGGAGCCTGAGCCCTGAGGACATGGGCTTGCTAAGAGTGGCACCCCAGAAGGTTAGACCCAGAAGGCCAACCCAGGGCTCCTTTGGGTACAGCCCCAGACAAGAGACCCTTTATCCTCAAAACTGGCAGGCATTCTCGCTAGCCTGAGCAGGCGAACCAGAGACCGACCACAGGCCTTACCCAGGGGCGGTCCGTGAGTTATAAGGATATCAACGCCTTCCGGTATGAGATTCCACTTCTCCAGCAGTGCTTGGCCTCGCGGGAGGTTGAATCCCCAGCCATAGAACCAGGGCTGCCTAGGAGAGAAGACGGTGGCTTTAGGGAGGGTCTCAAGAGTATGGCGCAATCACAGAGAAGGGGACAGGTCAAAAGGCCAGGCAGCCATGAGGACCAGCCTGGCACCCGGAAGCTCCATCAAAATGTAACGGGGACTGTCTGGAGGACCTCTACAAGAAGAGCAACCAGCTGCTGTCAATGGAGGCAGACCTCAGGAGCAAGAGCAGCCGGGCGGTACAGGAAGCTCTTTGGTTTGCCTACCAGCACACACTGTGAGCTGGTTAAGGCCAGGCATTGCCCCCACAACCCCTCATGTGCCCGAAGCTGCCACCTGAATCCTACTCTTGGCCAAGATGGCTGCGTGTCTGCCTGTGAACACAAGAGCTCTACACTGTCGGCAGCCACCAGAAGTGGCCTACTTAGCAGTCCCAGGGGTTCACAGAACCTCATTCAAGCACTCCCAGTCCTATCCTTGTAGGCTCTGACCTGTAAGACTGGGGTCTTTGCTGGGTATTGCACAGGAAGGGGAGGTGCCTGGGTGACACAGGGCAAGTGGAGCCTTCACTCTCAGACCCAGACCTGCTGTTCTCACCATCAAGCCTGCAGAGCTGGACCTGGTTGTATGAAGGATGGGTGGCCACTCTGGGTCACTTGAAGGTCAAAGGTCCTTTTTCTGTGTCGGACCCCAGCCCTGAGGGCAGATAAATGGTGTGTGAGCCTCTGGCCACTGTGATCAGGACACTGACCAGCCCTGGTACCTTGTGTCATAACCAGCACCTTAAAGCTGAGGCTGGTCTTTCATCACACAGGCCTCCAGGGAAGCTTGCCAGAGCCAGGCAGAGCATGCCAGCCTCCTCCACCCCAGTCCTGAGTCCTAAGCCCCAGGCATTTAATGGCAGCAGCTGTAGCTCCACCTGCTTTTCTAGCCCCTGGAGCAGGCTCCAGAGCCTTGCCTGGAGAAGGTGGCCTGTCCCTGGGCTAGAGGCCAGGATTTGTACTCCAGGTATGTAAAAGAAAAATCAGGGATCAAGGTCCGGGCTCAGAATGGCCACCTTTCCCACAGGATCCCCAAGCATCTGTCGGGGGACAGTAGTTAGGCTGGGATCGGCCACTGGAAGAGAAGCAAAGGACAGACGTGGCCCTGTCAGGGATATGTTCACTCAAGCAGCTCCTGTCCACATGCAGAAAGCTAAGCATTCTTCTGAAGGGATCTCTCTATCTCTCTCTCTCTCTCTCTCTCTCTCTCTCTCTCTCTGTCTGTCTTCTTATACACAGCTTCAAGGGAGCCCTAGAGTCAAACTGGCTGAGATTAGGATGGCTCACCACTTGTCACCTGTGTCACCTTGAGCAAGGGGTGAGTTTAAAGACAGTTAGGTTGACCATGACCAGCAGACACCTGAATCCTCAGGAGCCCTGAGTTGGAAGTTCTCTGTGAAATAGAGGCGTCACTGCTCCACAGTGAGAACTCCATGCTCTGCCACTGTGCCACCATCCAGCTCTCCTCCATCATCATCACCTCCATCATTGCCTTCATCACCTCCACCATCCACATCACCACATCCATAATCACCATCCCTGTCACTACCATCATCTCCACCACAGCCATTACCGTCATCACTTTCACCATCCCTATCACATCCATCACAGTCACCATCACCTCTAACCATCTCTGTCACCACATCAACCCACCTTGCCACCTCCATCATCACCTCGTCATCACCATCACCTCCACACAACCATCACCTCCATACAACCATCACCATCATTATCTCTACCACCACCATCACCTTCATCATTTCTCACTAAAACCACCATCACTATCATCATCACCAATATCTACTATCCCTGTCACTTCCACTGCCACCATCATCACCATCACACCTGTCACCACAGACCTCTCCCAAGAGCCAACCACAAAGCCCGGGTGTAAGGTTTCGTTTGGGGCAGGTTTTCTGAACTGCATTTTTGATGGCTGGCAGCATTTCTAATGAGGAAGCAGGATAGGAGACCTCAGAGAGCCTAAGAGCAAAAAGGGAACTTCAGCTTGATAGCATTTTAACTAAAAACACCCCACCTTCACCTCCAGGCACACACCCTGGTCACAAGGTGAGGTCTTTCTCTGGTGAGTACTGGCAGCCTGTCTCTGTGGATTCCTTGGGCTGTGCAATTTCTGAAGCACCGTCTAGAATTCTCAGAGCTGTGCTGTTGAAGGGGTCAGGGGTCAGAAAGACCTCAGTAGCATGGAAGCCTCTCAGTGTATGTCTAGGGCTGTCTTCCAAACAGGCTTCGCTTTTTCAAGAATGTAATCAAATATTTACATGGCAGAACGAGGCCTCATCGGTATGTGAGAGGGTACCCATTAGTTCTCCTAAGCCACTCTCAGAAACACAGCAGATATCCCATGGGCCCCAGCCCAGGCTACTCCTGCCTGCCATCTTCCCCTCACCCAGCACCTTGCACAGAGCCTTGCTCTGGAGGGAAAATTGGACACTGACTCTGGTAGGGATACCCAGAGGAGCCATTCCACACCCAAGGACCACACTCCCTGACACTCCAGACAGAGTGTGGTGTGGAATTAGATCTAAGCAGGGCATCGAGCCTGGAACAGTTCCGCTGCCCATCCCCCCTGTCTGCTACCTCTCCTTCCCTCCCTGTCTCACCCCACCCACCTGTGGGCCATGAGTCTCCCCCAAACCCTCAAAGCACAGGCGAGCTACTGCCTTACTCCTGGTCAGAGGCGGCAGCCAGCAGGACTTCAGCTCTTGGAAGTCTGGCTGCTGTCTGCATCTCTTTGACAGGTTGGGATGTCATCCAAGCAGCGTCAGCCATACTGACTCTGCCATGGACTGGCCCTTCATCTCCCCCAGGCTTGACCCCTGAGGGCAGCAACATGGAGGAAGAGGGGTGTACAAGGATATGGCCATAGACTTCAGGAGTATATTTCCAAACAGGCAATGGCCCAGATACCATTAGCTACCATTAGAATTGGGAAGCACAGGGAGGCAGAAACTGCGGGAAGTTTCTGGAAGATATTTCTGAGGTGGTTTCAGTGAGGGCTTTCTCTGGGCGGTGGGCAGTTCTGGGTGGCTGTGTCAGTAGGCAAGGCCTGAGCAAACCCCAAGGGCCTCATTGAGGCCTTTGGGCTGCCAGGAACCATCAGTTGCTGCTGGCCCCAGAGACAAAGGAGGGACCATCTTCAATGTACAGTCTGCACTGGAGCCTCCTGGGGTCCCGTTTGGGGGCGCACTGATCCTCTGTGTCCAGTGAAACCTAGCACTGTGAACAACCACAGTGACCAGCTCTCTGTATGGATCTGTATGGCTGCCCGGCCTTTCCCAGGGAGGACACCCACACTGCCCTGGCCCTCACTGCCATCTGACTTTAGAATACCACCCATGAAAGCTCCAGCCATGATGCTAGCCACGGTGCCCAAGAGCCCCCGGATCAACTTCCACCACAGCCTAACTCCCAGGCCTGGTACCACCTCCACCTTTCCATGGGTCTCACCGTCCAAGGCATCTCGTAGCCAAGGAGAGTGGTCCATCAGAACTCCGACTGAGCCGAAGGCGGCTTTATGTCCTGAATCTCTGTCTTTCTGTTCTAAAGTAACCATTGGAATAATTTTCTTACAGAATGATAGTTGCCATGACAACCAGAGCAAATTTTCCTTTTCTGAAACAGATGTCTCATTTAGTTGAAAATTAGAATGTGAGCAAACCCATGGGAAAAATTAATTCAAACTTTAACAGAGCGCTGAATACAACGTAATCTCTCCAAGGTTAACCCCTTAACAGCAATTCTGTGTGCCTCTGCTAACCTTCAGATCAAACCTAATTAGGCCCGCTTAGCCAATATAAATGACCTCCTCATGGCCAATCATTACAGGGCACCCCTGAAGCATGAAGTTGGGCTCCCTGACAGCTGACGGGGCTACAGGCAATCCTCTACAACAAGCAGCTGAAACAGAGCCTCCCCGGCCCCAGTTTCTGCTTCCTCAGAGCAAGCATTCAGCCCCAGGCTGGGCATGTTCCCAGGGATGCAGCCGAGGAGAGTGACCTCCAGCTGAACCCATCTCCCAGGCCTGGAGTGTTGGGCAGTGGAGGCCTCAGGTGAAGCAGACCTGACCCTAAGGCATTTCCAGGCCAGAGAGCTACGCTTGGGAGCAGACACTGAGGGGGTATCTACAGAGATGCAGCTCAGGGGCCTCTCGGTCTTCACACCTATCCTGGGAGGTGTCTGCCGCCATGGCTCCCGCAGACGCACAAGCTGGGGTGCAGAGCCATACCTAAGTGGCATAGCCAGGGTAGAGTACTTCAGCACCTGGAACGCTGGTCCAGAGCCAGGCTCTCTCCTCCAACCCAACATGATAAAAACACCATCCTTCTATCTCGTCACCCTCCACATGTATTTGCTCTGTTAACCTTTGGGGTGAAACTGCTGGGAGGTCTCCCTTTTCAGGCACAAGGAAGTGTGAGCTTAGAGAAGGCCAAGGGGCATATCTAAGGACACACGGGAGTGAGGAGGATTTGTTCCAGGATACCAGATACCTGCATCCCATGCCCAAGCTGGTGGCTGATGCAAAGAAACCCCCCCCCGGGGGGTAGCCAGGTACCAGCTCTCTCTTCCACAGACGCTTCTTGCCTGAGCAGCTCCCTCAGGCTCCCTGGGAGGAGCCTTCAGCCTGGCTGACGAGGGGAAGAAGAGCTCACATCCCTCACAGGGTCCCTGTGCACCCTCCAAATCATTCGATGGCTCCCCACTGCCTCTAGGACAAACGCCGTCCTCGAGGCTTGGCACACAGGACCTTGACCCTACCCCAGTTGACTCAGACAATCCAGCCCAGGTTCCCACGAAGTTTCCCCCACAGCCTTGGCTGTCGCTGGCTGTTCCATAAGCAGCTTCGCCCGTGCCTATCCCCAGGCTTTGTCTCCTACTGTGCCCACGTGGGAGGTCCTTCCTAACCTCCCACCCCGTCTCATATTCATGAGGCCCAACTCAAAGAGGCCATCTCTTCCAGAAG